TCACTCTCTGAAAGCCTTAAATACACAATGGACCTTATCCTAAGACAAAATAGCCACAAATCTCAGTCTGATGTAACAGATTTACATGATCAGGGACCCTGGAACCACACTGCTGGCATCTGAATCACGGCTTCACTCACTACTTGCTAGCTGGCTAATCTGGTGAGTAACTTATTCTCATTGTGCCTTGGTTTAATCATTTTGTAAAAGGACATAATCGTACCTAATTCACAGGGCTGTTGTGAGGATTAATGGGGGTGATAATTACAAAATTTCACAAATACACATACCATGCAGCCTCACATTTCCTACTTCAGTCACTTTTATAGTTTCTTACTCCCAAGGGCCCAAGAGAGGAGAGAGAGAGAGATTGTTATCCTCTGGCAGTGTGTAATGAAGATAGGACATTTTCCCATGAAAATATTCCATGTGCCATGTCTTTTTCTACCCACATGTGCTTCAGTCAATAAACCTATGTCGGCCGCTGCATGTATGAGCCCTGTGCCAAGGAAGTGTGACCAAAGAGTGTGTGTTTCACCCAGCAGATGGATTTGCTTTCTTGGCCTTATGCATTTTATTCCCAGATCCCAGAAAATAATAATATAATAATAGTTACCATGTATTAAGTGCCTACTCTAGACCCAACCCAAGGACAAGCATTATAAAGGTTGTAAGCAGGGGCATGACAGGGTCTAATTTACATTTCCATCAATGGATCACTGGATGCTGAGTGGAGAATGGTCATAGGAGAAATAAGGTGAAAGCAGAGAGGCAGGATGCTAGTGCGATAGCCAGCTTTAAGGTGATAATGGATACTTCGTGGGCATGTTGGAGGAAAAGTGAATGGTTTGGGATGTGTTTTTGAGCTGGAGTCAACTAGATTTGTACATATATTGCATGTTTGGAGTTGAAGAAAAAGGACGATACATCTATGTACATTAATTCATTGAACCCTCATGAAACCCCAATGATGCAGACATAGCGATTTGTATTTTATAGGTGAGGATGCTCAGAGACTGACAGATTCATCCAGTGAGCCAGGCTTTGGACCTCTACTCCTAACTCCTGCTCCCATCACTGGTGGTCCTTTCCTGCTCCCCACAAGGTATATCTCTTCCTATTATCTTTTTTCTTATCATCTTTCATTACTTTTTTCTCCTTCCCCTCTCTTCCTTGACTAGGAATAGAACCCAAGGATCTCAGCCCAGTGGTGACAGTCAAAGGAGAAAGTGACGAAGTCCCGTCATGCTGATTCCCTATATACCGCAAAGTGCAAGGGCCTTTCTATGCTCAGAGTCACCATGGAGACCACAGCTACTTTTATCGGCAGGCTACAAATTTTCAAAGGGTCTGTCTCTTCACATATGCTGCCAAAATGGTTGAAAAAGCCAAATAACCAATTTCTAAATACATACAGAAAGTTTGAAATACTAGATCACCGCTTCAGAGCACACTCTCAATCATCAGGGGAAAAAAAAGGATTCATGAGTTGTTCTTTCTCAGAAAAGGTCTCCTTGCCCTTCTTCATGACAGACTCTCTAGGATTTTTCTTTGTGATTGAACTTTCTGGGGTTAGGGTGGGGGAGGCTGTGTAGTTATGAGTCCCTGTGGTGCAGAAAGGTTCTCAAGTTCAGTGACCTGCATATCCATAGACACCCCAAATCTTGAATGGAACGTTTTGGCAAGTATGCCCTTACTTGGACTCTTATATCATCTCCCTAATTTTTTTTTCACTGGGGCCAAGCCTGTGGTTGAAGCCCCATTTGCTTGTCCTAATAGCACTCCATTTCACCATGAGTACAGGTCTCTCTTGCCTAGCCAAAGATATTCCTTCTCAGACTAGCAAATTCAGCCCAGTGCTTATTTTTACCCAAAGATTCTTCGAACTTGTTTAAAGGCCTCCATAATTGTATTTAATGAAAGACAAGCTTTCTGAAAATCATGAGGCCTGAACTAGTCAGCAACTAACTCTGTGAACATTGGACCAAACCCTTATTATTCTGGACATTGGTGTCCACATTTGCAAGATGAAACATTTACACAAGAAAATTCTTAGTAA